ATCATGAAGAGGGCACAGAAGGGGGAGGTTTGGTGTTGGGGCGGTTTTTCTTTGCGGGAGAGGTGCCGCTTGTTATGCGGAACGGTGCAGGGGAAGAGTGCGGGAAGTAAATTACATGTAGAAAGCGTCTTCTATCGCTAACATTGGTGATGGGAAAATTCTTGGGGGGAGCTGCGGTACAGTAAAATGTGTACAAGATGCAAGCGAGCCAAATCCGCACATAGGAGGCTATCACCGGGTTCTATGTGTTTGGTCCATTAAAATATTGGACTTCATTCATCACTTCAATCTTTAATGCTCATGAGGATTATGTGTAGAATCAAAAATGTGCTTTCTAGTATCATTACAAAAGTCTTTCATCATGTCAGAGGGGGTATATCCGCTGTAACTCCCAAATTGCTAAACTCAAATACGAAAGGAAAAGGAATTCAAATCAAAATGCATATCTAGTTCTACAATCCAGGGACTTATGCGAAGACCTAGGCTTAGACAAGCCCTAGTCCACCTTGACGAAGGTCAGGAGGTACGGCTGGAATATACGCTCTTCGTCATCGTCAGTTTCTGGCCACCGATATGGCCAGGTCAGCATTTCCCGCTCATTCGCTTTGATGACAGCATTGTCATTCGATTTGAAGACACCCTGTGGTCCCCTCACCATAGAGATATAGTGACCGTACGAGATAGTTTCCCCCTCATGGGCAATGACTGCCTGCAAGCGGTACTTGAGCGGAAGTTGGGCGTTGGATTGATAAGGAGTGAGGTCCATAAATTTTGGGAGTTCGACATATGTGGATAGCTTCCTCTGTGAAATGAGGTCGACGATGAGAAGTTGCACCCTCAAGACTTCAGGAGCCGCTTCGATTCTATCTATTCTGGAGTGCATCGAACTTGAGCAACCTGCAACCCCACAGTCAAGCGTAAGATCTCTCGTCGAAAAGTGACGGTGGACGGCGGCTTTAACGGAGTCAAGGCCGATTTGAAGGATCGGAAGACTAATATGATGCTCATCGGTCGTGCCTCGTACAATTTGGTTGTGACAGTCGTTGCATTCATCCGTAGACGCAGTAGCGATGTCGAACAAGGCGGTGCTCTGGTGTTCCCACTGTGGTGGCGGAGTTCCATACTGCCTCAACGCTGTCATGATATGATTTTGGTATAGCGAAGCATCTTCTTGGGTGTCTTGAGAAAATGTCCAGGGTGTAGGTAAGTTGCGACGGAATAAGGCTCGGTCGAGCTGGCAGACTTGGAGATTCAGGTTTGCTGAATTCTTCTTCCAATATTCGTTGATCAATTGTTTGAAAGCGCAAATCGGGCAACGGGTCGGATTGTTATTCTCTCTGCAAGGGTACGGAATAGTCCCGTTCTGGTCGCTCTCGTTGTGCGTCTCGATCCAGTTCAGCACTTTCGGGATATGGAGGAGATTTTTGACGGCTTCGCGCCGGTAGCAGGCGTTGGAGGCCACATGACGTAAGAGACCTTTGCTCTTTACTCCGAATGCACGCAAGGGCCAGCCTTTGGTAATGCGTGAAGTCTGTTCACTATTAGCATGGTGTAAACTTCATGAACGGTAATTAAGCAACGTACGGAAGCATCCCTGGCCCGCTGCAATCCAGAACCACCAGGTGGGGCGGGAAGGCTACGAGAGCGCAGCACGGGAGCCATATCTCTCGGGATTCTTTTGTTGCAAGTAGTTCAGTGTAATACAAGGAAGAAATAGAAATTGAGACTTTCAGATTCTGAGGAAGATAGGAAATACGATAAGATATAGTTTTAAAGAAACCGAGAAATGTCCGGCTTCTATTGTGAAGAAATTATTATAATGATCAAGATAACAATGCCAACAATGAATTTCTTATATGAAGAAAATGTTCAAGAATAGCAAGCCTGAGATAACAATAGCATTCAAAGAAAACGACAAATAGAGGTTACAACAAACAACTGGGCAACAGAGAACACAATGGCGAAACAACAATAGAATAAAGACTTGTCAATAGAACAAAGAACGAAGAATCAAGATCAAAATCAAAACAGTAAACTCTCTTCAGAGCATGGAAAGAGAATAGATGTTTGGGGACTACAGCATCACTATTGAAGGTTCAGCTCAATTTCTATTGTTTGGAAATCCGTTTTCATGTGTTCTCGACCAATTGAGAGCCTTACATCCTTCGGCCGCCAAAGATCAACCAGAGAAGGCGCGCAACACGCTATACTTAAGCGTACGTTTTCAATACAATCACTGAGAAAGGCACGTGAGCTAGGAGCATGTGGTGTCACCTTCCCAATACATTTGGCAGCACTATTGTATTTGCGAAAACGAACTAGTCACGTCATGCCCCACACTTGAGCAGTCACGAGACTTCGGTCGTCAGTGTACACTCCGCGTTGCCATGCAAACCTTCTCGTGTGTTGCTACAACCCAAACGACGCCGAAGCCTTTTATCGAAGCAACAAACACCATGTGAGTCTCCCCCACCGTCTCGTTATGACGAATTCTCTCTTTAATCAAGCAGTGTATGGACCACAGCCAAGCACACCCGCTTCTCGTCAGCTTCCTCAAACACCGCAAGCTCTACATCGTCAAGATCATCGAGCTCTTCAGGACCCTCGGGCTCTCCAAGATCCTCAAACGCCTCAAGCTCTTCAAGGTACTCTAGCTCTTGTGCTACCTCAAGCATATCAAGATCCCCAACAACTTCTGCAGCTGCGTCAAGCGCACTCGCACGGGGTTCCGTGCCGATTACCTCAAGACGATTCACTATTCGGACCAAAACCCTGGCTTACCTATCCCTACCCATAGATAACACTATCCCCAACGCACGCTCAATCGAAAGGTAACGTGATGCCTTCGCCTCGCGACAGATTTCCGGTTTCGAATGTATTTGTGCCTACATATCCACTCAAGGATCGAGAAGAACGATACCTCCCGCCGAGCGGCTTGTACTACGATCAGTTCATACTTCCGCAGGTCTTTGGGCCAGACTACTTCATAAAGCACGGCAGGTGCTCACATTGTCGGAAAGCAAGGCATGGTACTTCTTCGAAAGCTTGCACTGCGCCCTGTGGAGTCTGCGATTCGACCGACCATCTGGGAAAGGCATGTTTTTTCCTTTATTAGACGCTATAGGGCATCGCTAACAGAAACACAAGACATGTCCTATGCTCTACTGCTCACTCACCTGGTGGTCAGACAGAGGATTTCCACCACCGTCACCCAACGTCCAAATTCGTCCGACATTCACGGAGGCGGCACATCTCAGCAAGCGGGGTCTCATCAAAAGGGTTGAAAGGAACAGTGATTGCATCGTTCCCATAATCAGACATTTGACAGTACAAAAGTATTATCGCAATAATCCACTTCCACAGCCTCTCCAGATTCGTTACACGCCTGGCAGGAAGACGTCCGCTCCTGAGCTCCATGAGGCTGCTCCCAAAGAATCGATGATATCAGCCCCGCCTACTCCAGCACCGGTGTATGCACTTGCGCCACAGCCTATCAAAAACTTGGTCAATTCGAGCTTGGACCCACGTCTTCGCGATAAAATCACAAGCGGTCACACTTTCACCTCATCCTCATATGATCCTGAAGTGTCAGCGGACAACGAAAAGCACTCATTTCGACACGGCAACAATCCTCAGTATCATGCTAATAGCACTACTATCCATGACCCGCACTCAGATATGGACAGTGATACTCTGCCATTGGCCTCATCTCGCATCCGCCCCAATAGGATGGCATTTCTCGAAACTCCCCATGGTGGCCCACCCCAGCGCTCTCCAACCCCCGAGCTCGTCGATTCTGAGTTGCGGACAATATTTCAACAATTGGAAGCTAAGTTCCGGAGGGTGCAGCGGGAGAACAAGAGGCTGAAGGCGGAGAATGCAGAACTTCGAAAGTGTCTGGGACAGTCTAATGGATATGAAGCCGGGGCTAAACGCCCCCGCTATGATGAAGACATGCTATGATGAATATGCCATGCGTGGGACTTTGGCACAGAAGTAGAGAGTGAACATGTATATCTCTGCAGCATGTTGGAGTATGATTGCTTGTTAGCAATATGGCTATGGCGATGGGTTTCGGCGGTGTTGCAGGCACAAGAGCCTCCACAAATATCTTTCCTTTGGAATGGTGAGACAAACGGGGTTGCCATATTGGATACTTTCCAGTTGCATATTGCCTATGGTTGTGCTGGGTAGTCCGTGGCAGGCGAAAGATAGAATGCCTATCGTGTAATTAACAATGCGGCTCAAGTATTCAATGAATGGTAATGGGAATTATGCCCATGATATAAATAGTAATGCTTTTATCCAAGCATGAAGTATCTCAGAATACAGCATAAATGTGAGAAGCAAAGAATTACCCCAATCTTACTCTCGAGGTGGTAGGATCCCTTTTCAGGCTTCTATCTACAGTATTTCTACCAATTCCTGGCACTTCCTATCTATACTTTACAAGCTCAACATTATAGAAAGAGCAAAGGTTGAGGTTCGTATGATCTCGAGCGAAGAGGAATCGCCGAGAATCCAGAGAGACCTCATTATTCTCTCCGAGAAGCTCTCAATGCGCATTCCTTGGTTAGTTATGACGTCTTTTAAGACATTGCTCTATCATACAATCGTTTCTTTTGAAATTCGCTATACATCACTTCATTTCCCCATTTCTCTGAGAATGTAGTAGTACAACAACACCTTCTGTCTTGAAAATCATCGCATGGGCTTCAGAAACTTCTGACCAAAGTGAGGGAACATTATTAAACCTTGCCAGTGTTCTTGTCTTCAATGGCTTATTCAGGCCACGAACAGGGTGGTTGGTTGATGCCAAAATTGGCTCTTTCATTCTCACATGAGACATATAAAATAGTCCCTACTGCTAGTCATACAACAGCACAATCCCTTCATACAGTACCAAGAATAAGCTTTCCCGCCAATGCTCTTAGCAATCTAAACGAATCAGATAGACATGAAAATTGCAGCACATCTAGAGCACGAGGGAGCAAAAAGAATGATTCAGCCGAGGTTTGAACTCGGGACCTTCAGTGTGCTAACGAATGTTAGACTGACGTGATAACCAACTACACCACCGAACCTGTTGTTTTATTCGATGCAGTTTTTGAATTTTAATAAATCAATGTCCAAAATGAACGGGAAACGGTAAACCAGAGAGAAGGATAGGATCAGAGGAACCAGGAAAGATGAGAAAGGTTATTGTAGGGGTGGATGTACTACCGGTAAAGCTGGGGCAGCGGTGAAAAATTTGATGGGTGGGGGCGGACTGGCGTGGGACGGGGTGGGGCGGGCCAGGGGAACTTCGGTGCTATTACAGAATGAACATCGAGATGTTGTCCCCTATAAAGGACATTGCAGTGGCTATAATACTAGTATTGCTACCTCCTAGAATATATGAGGGGCCCATGTAGGGCAGAATCAGTCATTTGCAATCTAGCTACATCTGGCTTATAACGAAGGTAGGGTTCTGAAATATTTTCTCTCGAATGGAAGTCTGACTCAATACCGCCAATTCCTGCAAGGGATAGACGGTTACATGCTGAATATAGGTCGTTCTTGTCAGTTGACATTGATGTTGATGTTAAGGTCGTCATGGAGTGAAATTCCCATCAGCAACGATTTCAAGAAAGCGAAGCAGCGGAACTTGACGGCGTAAATTGTTGTCCAGGTAAGAAACGCGTAGATGTCACGCGGCTCTAGTTTTTGCCAAATGAATATGCGCATGATAGAAATGCGGTGGTGAATTTGACTGAGAACAATTAGGCGGCGGCGTGAAAAGGAATAAGACAAAGGAGTTCAGAGGGAGACAAAAGCTCCGCAGGAAAGCCAACAACTGTAATTAGAACGTAGTCGTCAAGGTATAATCTTCGACGTGTACAAATATGGGTAGATAGCCTACCGATAAAGAAGGCGAGCGCTGTTGACAAGAGAACTGCTACTGTGATCTACCCAAGTTTTTTCAGGCAATATACTTGTAACTATCAATAAAAGGACCAGAGTTCATACTTCCAAAAGCCCCTAAACGAACGCGTTCAATGTGAGAGGCTGCCTAACGAAAGTCGTCATCCGACATGTATATAGGGTTTGCCGTCAATAATAGCACGTCACATATAAGTAAGAACAAAGGTTGCAGTGGCCCTATCTGCGTGGCCAATGTTTGAGGTAAGCTGCAATTGTATTAGTTTTCTGTAAAGATAGAAAGAGGGATAACTTACATTGAGGGTCTTGCCTTCGAAAGCCAAGCTGGCGCTTTGGGGTTCATTATAGTAATGGTTGTTATAAGCATCTTGGTCGATACAACCTCCGGCATGATACATCGAAACACAAGCCCAGTTGCTCCGAAAACTCATAAACGGATTACTCGCAAGAAGGCGAATATGGATAGTTGTGCCTTTTGGACTTGTGATCGAGTATCCGACTATGCCTGCGGAGCCAACGAAAGGCGCCTTTGACGATATTACATGGCCTGCATCCCCTTTTTCGAAGGGTTTGATCTTGACGCTCTCTTAGCACTGAAATAGTCTTGATATGTCTGCGAAAAACTTACACTCGTTGGGCCTGACATGAAGTCTCCCCAGTCCGAAAATGTCGTTGAATTTGGGATCAGCGTAAATGGAGTTTGGTTGTCAACAAGAAAGAAGATCTGATTTCTGTGGGGGTTGGGTTGCACATAGATTTCGGTTGATGACATCTTGACAGGTACGTTTACAATTCCCTCGGTGAATACTAAAGACGGGAGAAAGGGAGTCGAAGGGTATACGTTCAAGTGTGTTCTGGGGCAAGTGATGTCTCTTACGAAGGCTGTGGGGATATAAACAGCGGATTTTGACTTTCTCTTAGATGCGGGTACTACGTTTGCTTGGTTTTATAGTTTGACTTGTGGTGGTTGCGAATACGGATACGAGGGGTAAAGCATCCAATGATTAAACACCACAGCAATTGTGGAGGCTGTGCTGCACACACAGCACTCGCGATCATACGTTGACATGGCTGTCTTCAGTTGCCTTCTGGACAGGCAACCGTAGCCCCGCCAATAGTAGAAAACATTATCCGACTAAAAATGCCTTTCGGTTCGTATATTGCTTACCGCCCCTCGCAAGTTATCAACAAGATGCGACGTGCCTGCAACACAGCCTCCACAATTTCCTTAATTCTTATCTTTCGGATCAATCCCTTACCATCCCGTTTCGCGTGTATTGTTTTCTTTTCGTAACCTCCATTTCCACGACCTAAGTTAGCAGCAATGACTAGTCGCTGCTTTAAGGATGCGGCCTCTTGTGTAGTCTGGTGTTGCGATCCAAGCCAGCCCACCTTATTACAGGGCGGTGGCCCAACCTCGGCTAGAAATAGTTGCATAAAAGAGATAACGTGATAGAAAGTTACAAGTCCTTGAGTTCACATGAGTTCTAGGGGGCGCGACTTTGTAAGACTTAGGGGAAGTATAAGACCTAACAAGTATATAGACTCCCACATATCCTTTTTTTAGTATTCGTGTTAAATCTTGTAGTTATTATAAGTAGATAGTCTATTCTATTGTGAAGGTGTTGTCCGACATGCTGCTCGCTTCCCCGAGAACCGACCCGAGTCTTCGACACTAGCCGCTCTAGGACCTAGTCCCCGTTTATTAGATCAAGAATCTCAACATCTGGCTGACGGAGGTCACTGGAGGGTTAGACATCTGTAAAATAAACTTCACAAGCGCGTCTTCTTGCTCTTCAGCCGAGCGCACGACGATAGAGGGTGGTGTAAGGAAACTCGCCATGGTCTGCAAGAGCGCAATACGAGAAGAAGATACCTCAAGGGGCCCCTTTTGCTACTACATGGCTTGCTTTGTCCATAATTTATCAGCCTGCTATCCTGTCGTGTCGACAATAGAGGATAGACGAGTTGAGGCAGCAGGGCTCTCCAGAGCTGCCAATAAAGAGGACACTTTTGCAGAGAAGGGGCATGTAGAGAACCTACAAAGCGCCACAATTATTTTTAGAGCGTGTGCCGCGTTAGGGATAGCCTGTAGCTGCTATCAATATGTAAGTACGCCCATGCATCACAAAATACGGCTAAAATATCCCGCGACAAGACAAGCACAGTAAAACACCTGGAAGACGTAGATTCAGCTCACGAGGGCTATAAATCTTTAGGGATATCATATTTCTAATCATGACTCTCTTTCCTGTCCTCCGAACTCTCAATCGATCATGTTGGGACCTCTAAAGCAGGGAGAGAAAGCCAGACAGGGCTTTGATGGCGTCAACGAGACAATCGACTACATTACTAACTTAGGTGTTTCTGTGTTCGGCTGATGAATGGACTAGATCCTCCCTACACTATCCTTGCCCAGCACTTCCGTTTTGGCGCTTAGTGGTTGCTGTGCGACCATAAGACGGAAAATTGAGCGCAGGCAAATCTTTGCTAGACTCTCGCATAGGCTGGTGATCTGCTGCGCTGTCCTTACAATGGCCTTCAGATTCGTACTGCTCGTTTGCCGTAGGGTAGCGCGAAGATTGAGCGATAGTCGAAGGAGTGTATGCATTTGACTTGTCGAGAGGCATGAAACTGAAGCGCTTGGAATACCGCGCCCCCTCCTCCCTCCACTGCTTCACTGGTACGAGTCCTGCATGCTGTGTCATTCCCTCCTCTGCCATCCCAGATCGAAGTCCCCTCCTGAAAGTACGCCGAGTAGCGTGTGTCCGCCGTAAAGCGGCCGACGAGACAGATTTAATCGATTCAGCCAGAGAGTGTTCCGAGTCCTTCCGACTGACGTTGTGAGACAGCTTGACCTGCGCAAAGCACCAGTCCTGGAGGTCTTTGCTGGGATGGCAACGAATTTTACCTCTAGAATCGAGCAGGCCCGGGATTTCTCCTTCGTTGTCAACAAGCCTAGTCAGCGTCAAGTCGGTCATGAAGCCACAGACAATGCAAGGCGGAAAGAAGGCGAGATACTCTTTCTGCAGAGTCCGAGGGACACGGAGACAGGTGGTGCAGTTAAGGCCGGATAATGATTCGAAAGTCGGAGTCGGAGTAAGATCGACATGCTCTTGGGGCTTTGGCAGTGACTCTTGCCGCAAAGCCGTGACCCGTACCGGAACAAAGCGTCGACAGGTGCCGCAAACACGATTTGAGGCGACAGATTGTCCTAGCTTCGAGCTAGATTGCTTGCACTCAGGGCATCGAGCTGGAGCTATAGTCTTCTTTGCAGCCGCATTATCTTCGTTATGCGGATTACCACGGACCATGCCGAATAGTTGAGACGGCTCGGTCAAGAGTCTCTGCGAAGTAAGGCGGTCGCGATCAGAAACAACATGAATCTGCCCTTTGATTCCGACATCTGTTGGTTTCTGTTCCGGCAAAGGCTTGCTAGTTCGTTCACGATAGGGCCGATCAAAGGACGTGGAGTTCGAGCGTATAGAAGCACTCCTGCACTGATGATTGACTTGCTTCCTAACATCTTCTGGGTTGACGGACCGACTGATACCCTCGGAGTAACTGGAAGTTTGCATTGTCTGCTGTTGTGCAAGCATTCGCCCAGCGAACGTGTTGAGCTGCGAGAGTGGAGCTAAACGTCGGCCTTGTTCATCGCGACGGAAACGAGGTTGGTTGGAAGCAACGGCGTATTCTGGATTGAGAGACGTGCCCATGACCTTCATCTTTCGACGTGGTGTCTTCAGCTCATCTTTCTTATTCGATTTCATGATGCTGGACGATGTTGAGGATGAGATTGAGATGAGTAAGGAACGATGCGCCGAGAATGGGGAATTACGGTCTAACTGGCTGGCCTTAATATGGCGGTGGAAAACAAAGTTATTGTAATAGAGCGTGAAGAAAAACTAGCAATCTTAGATACTATGTGAGACATTGTGAATGTTGCGTTTTTCCTCAGTCGATCATTGTAACTTCACAGTAAGGCTACCGATGACGCCACAAAGCCGACGTCGCGGCGCATGTGGCCTTGAATGAAGGCTCGTAGCTTATACCAAGGTATCGCCGTAGCCCAGTAAATAACGAGGGGCTGAAGACAGACGCCAGTCATGAGGTCCATACTAGTGCGCGGATGAGAGGCCAAACAACCTTTCCCGTATCTTCC